ATTATAAGTTAAAAATAATAATGTACTTTATAACTTCTTCAAAACCATGTACACATTAAGCCATATCATAATAAGATAATGATATAACAGATAGTGATACATTGAGTTGGTAATGCCATTAGATGATTAAGAGACCAGGGATGTGGTACATTCATTGTACTATAAAACATTCTAAAACCATCAAGTTATAATTTAAGACTGATAGGTCTTCAAACACAAAGTTTGGCATTCCAGTAAGGCAAAGAAAACTTTAAAAATGGTTATATTTCCATACCCAGAGAAAGGGTTAGCAAACTTTTTTTTGGGTAAAGGGTTAGATAATAAATGTTTCCAGCTTTGTGGGCTGTATGGTCTCTGCCACATCTCCTTAACTATGCTGTTCTATCAGGAAAGCAGCAATAGGCACTATGTAAACAATGTAGCTGTTCTAATAAAACCCTGTTTGTAAAAAGAGTCAGCAAGCCAGACTTGGCCTGTTGGCTCTAGTTAACTCACACTCCTTTAAGTATGCATGGGCATGTTAAATAGATATAGATGTCTGAATAATGGGAGTATATCTAAGTGCATTACTTTACCAAATCTGCCTCTCCCTGTAGTCATGACAGCTTCCTGGGTACATGATCAATGCCATCACACTGGTACTATTTAGAACAGTTCTACAATTGCAGCTTAGATCTCTGTGGTCAATGTCTTGAAATTCTTGTGATTTTATCTTGGATGTGTTTTGTCAGCAAAGTCTGATGGGACAATGGAATCTCAGCTCATATGTGTGGTCTCTTTCCCCTGTCTCACTTCAACCCTAGGGCAGACCTTACAAATGTGTTCTCTCCAGTTTTTTCTTTCTTTCCTGCCTTTCCCTTGCTACTGATGCTGCCCTCCATCCAGGGTGGGACCAGGTGATGTCAGTGGATGAGGCATATGTTCTGTTATTGCCCCTCACAGCAGTCTGGATTTGAGCCTCCCCTTGGGGCAGGGTGATGGCTTGAGTGTGTACACACTGGAACACTATTCCTGTCCCAGCCTGGCAGCACCACACACAATTAGTGGACTCAGTGCAGAACCTCTTGCCTATCCCTGATCCAGGAACTACATGTGTTGCAGTGTAGAGGTTGTAATCTGTGGGGGGTCACCTGTCTGACCTCCCTGTAATAGGGAGACTGACTTCCCCCAATTCCTCACTAGAGTATGATGTTTAGGTCCTGTGGCTGGAGGAAACCAGAACCCAGAAACGTATTGGCCGCATATGTGCCTCCTAGTCACAGGGTACCTGCAAGAAGTCTACACTCCTCTACGTGTATCCCTGTACTAGAGAAAACTTGAAATTAAATAGCACATAAAAAACCAAAGGGTTGGCAAAGCTAAGAAGAAAGAAAAGACGTTTTATATTTTAGTCACTTTAACATCAGTTTTTCCTGCTTTCTAAACAAAGAGCTTTGTATTTTCACTGTGCATCAGGCCCTGATGAAAGATTTGCAGCTATAAAAGATTAGCTTTGAAATTCATTTACCGAAATGGAAACAGACACAGAAAATTCCACATCCACATTTCTCATTTCAGATCAGTCAACCCCTACAATGCCATGGCTTTCTGCAATACTTCTAAATATTAACTATTAAGGCTTTGAAATTATGTATTTTGGGTTTTAGACTCTAAGGAGCTCCTTTTGGGACATGATCATGAATTCTGCATGGTAGCCATTTCCTCAAATAGTTTGCGAGTAGATTAATTCATATTCCTTAAGAATAATAAGTAATTTTATAAATATAAAGCAAAGTCAAATGTTATATATGAAATATAATAAACAACAAGGAAAGTTAAAATTTTACTCACAGCTGCCTTTAAATCCCTTTAAAGAAGACAGTACTGTAGTATTTACATATACAAAAACATGCCTATTTTCCTGATTTGAAAAAAACCTTTTTGAGGCAAATAATTTTAAACATTAACTGGACATTATTTGATATTAAGGGATCTTCTTTTTTAAAATAACTTAACCTTAATTTTATTATTTATTTATTTTTATGTGGTGCTGAGGATTGAACCCAGGACCTCACCTATGCTAGGCAAGGGCTCTACCACTGAGCCACAACCCCAGCTCAACATATTAAAGCATTTGGTTTATTTGCTGAAATAATGCCAGAATGATTATATTAAAAAACATCATTAATTAATGAACACTAAAGTATTTGTGGGCAAAATAACAAATACAGTGTCTGAGATTAAATTTAAATATTTCTGCAAAAAGAACAGGTGGAGAAAGAAGACAGGGAAAGAGGAAGTTGGAAAAGAAAATGATGGTGACAAAAGTTGAAGGTGGCAACTATAAACACAAAGGAATTGAGAGAAAAAAAATCTGAAATAGATGGAATGGGGTTGGTAAATGATAAACACAGGTGATGAAAATGCAGGGATTCATTCTAATATTCCTTTTGCCCTCATTTGTTTTAAAATTCCCATGAAAGTGTGTGTATGTATACCTGTTGCCTACGAAAAGTTCTGATAAAAATCTAAAAACCAAGTCACAGATTTTTCATTTTCCTCTATACCAAAGGTTTTATTGTTATTGTTGTTGTTGTTGTTGGTGTGTGTGTGTGTGTGTGTGTGTGCTTGCTTTTTTGGTGTAAGAAACATCTTTTGAGTCTGACCATTCTCTAAGCTCAAAAATACAAAGGAGATAAGAAGGATAATCTGCCCATGGGTTGTGACACAATATAAAAACAGAAAAGAAGAAAGCGGGTGGAAGAAAATGTCATTGTTACTCTCCTAACCTTTCCTTCTAATTATGCCAGAGTCAAGACTCAGGTCACAAGGAAAATTATTTTGGTGGTCAACCATTTGTCCTATTTTGTAGACATTAAAAAAGCTCTTGTTCTTACTACATTCCAATCTCACAGTTTCCTACCTACTTTAAAAACCTATCAAGTGGTCACATTAATTATATGAATAAAATGACTAAATTATAAAGACACCTGTTTGCAAGTTAAGAGATGGTCTTCTTGTTATGCTGAATTATATGATATATAATACTTTAAAATTAAATATACTTTATATTATTCTAGGTATTTCAGATAAATGCTCAACATGTCCAGCTTTTAAAAGTTTAATGTAAATTTCTCTCTTGAGTGCAGATGGTGGCCAAGCAAAATAGCTCTTTGGTCTTACAGACAGAAGGTCAGGTCATGGCTGAAAGACCAAAGAACAATTGCTGCTTTGCTACTCCAAATCATCCAGGGAATGAGACACCACTACTCTCTTTTCTAAAACTGTCTATTCAATACAAAATAGTTACAAAGAGTACCTATAAGATTTCCTCACATTCTGTCCCAGAAAAAATGGTAACAAGTACATCACATCACAAATATCTTACAACTATTCACAGATTTTATTCCTAGCTAGTGACCTTAGGCATATCTCCATCTAAAAATGTATCACTAAAAATAATTATGAAAATTGTTAATAGTTCACTATTATCAGAAAATGTTTGCAAATGAAAACATCTATGAAATCCTGCAACTTCAGCCTTTATATTATTACTGGTTAATTAGAATGAAATGTAGTGCTAAAGACAAATATTACAAATACTTTTAAACTAGTTATTCATGTATAAGTAATATTTTGCTTGTGTTACTCCTTTTTTGTCCCTCTAAAACATTATACTGCAATTTAAAATAGCTCAGAGGCTCTTTGCTTCTGTATTTTCCCAGTTAGTCCAAAATATTATGCTGGCAGAATGCCCTATAATATAAAAGGTATTTCATAATGCTAGTAAGTATGTTAATATAACTTGAAAATTATAATACATTAGGAAAGAAAGTTCTCTCTTTCTGACCCAGTAATCCAAGGCCTTCAGTCCCTAATAGAAAGCATTTTCCATTCCACTATCAGGCACGCCCTCAACTGGATGAAATGAAACAGTTGCTTTATTTGTATATGTTAACAATAAAAAATCCTCTAGACATATAAAACTTGTTCTAACACTTTGATTATAGTGGTAAAAAAAAAGAAGAATTTTATTTTGGTTGTCTACATTTTAATATATTAATAAGAATTTCAGTCACAACTTGAACAATTTTTGTATTATCACTTCCATTTTTAATATTCAACGGTCTTTAAGTCATCTGTAATAAATAGTTAATTGGGCTGAAAGGGAAAATATGATAAAAGCCTTGAGTTAGAAATGTATTTGAAAAAAACTTACTTGGAGCTATATACTTCTGATTTATAGTGATTCCTTTAAGATACTGACAGTAAGAACTCAAACTTATTTTTTAATAGAATAAATAAAGCCTGATTTCATTGGATATGAAGAATACAAGTCTTCAATGTCCTTTACTATAACATAAAAATAGAAAATCAAAAGCCAGCTTATTAGAACTGCCTCTCTAAAAACTTTATCCACATGGTCAATTAAAATTGGAGTCTCTGTATGATCTCAACAAAGTTACAACATAAAACATCTGTTCAACTGAAATCGAAGTAAGTGGCACTCCTGCCCAACATTTCTAATTTCACAGTATTTAGGCTTCCTGAGCAAACGTATTCATGGTTATCTTAGTTAAAACTGGATTTTCTCTGCCAACAATCAATTTGATTGACATATTTACATATCAACTCATCTCATCTTACAAATTTTAAACTTTTTCATTTAAAATTGGATGCAAGTTGGCATCTTTCAAGAACTTTACGTATATTTTAGGTTCAAACTCTGCATTAGAACATTTCTTAAACTTTTGTAAGTAATAGATACACATATCCAAATGTATATTTATGACCTGTCAAAATGGAATTTTATATGCATGCAGTTGTATTCTCACCATTTCATGTGAAAGGTGATAATTTTAGCCAACTATAAATGAACTTCTTTTAATAGTATAAACTGGATCATTGCATTAGTTAGAAACAATGTAACAGAAATAAATAATTTAGGGATAACACCATCAACTTCAGAAAGAATGTTAGTTATAACTTTAATTGCTGCTTATTCTTGTGTCATCTCTTACCTGATCTTTAATTTCAAGATCCCTTTTAGTTTTTGCTCTGTACTCTCTGTGCTCCTTTTCTGCCTCATCTTTCTCCATTTTGGTTTTATTCAACTGAAAACGCATTTCTCCACACACCTGTTAGATTATAAAACCTAAATCAATAGCTGTTGGAATTTTCCAGGCAATGCTTGCAATTAGATCTTTTGGTGCCCCCTAGAGGGCATATAGATAAAATGTAATAGGACTTTTCTAAAACTGACATTTTTATTAGACTATTCAGTATAGCCTGCTAAGTTTCATATAATTCAGCATAACAAAAAGACCATCTCTTAACTTTATAATATTTCTTATTAGAATATTCATTATTGTCTGCTATTATTTATAGACAATTCAGGTATATTCAGTTTAACAGTTTAAAATTAAAGAAATAGAAGTGCATAAATAATAAATTTAAATAATGTGCTCAAGATTATTTTAGGTAAAATAGCAGTTTTAATAGAATATTATAAATTCAAATGCACAATCATATAACTTTTAGTTAGGTAAAATAAGTAATTAAAACATTGAGCTATATTGTTTACTGAAAAATTTCTGGTTAAATATTCCTTTATATTATAAAAATTTTGTCAAGCTTTTATTTAAGGAAACTTATAAAGGTTTTTTTTCTCTCTGCTGATAGACTATAGTCTATTATTGATATTTAGGTGTAAAATACTCAGTATTTAACTTTTTAGATAATATCAATCTTACTATAGTAATTGCACAATACTACTCAAGAAATATTTTCTGTCAAAACATACATAAAAGAAAAAATGTACATTTAAATGCAATAACTTTAATACATGGATAAACAATAAGCATACATAGTATCTTAAAAGTGTTGTATATCATTCTTTATAAAATTGTTATTTTTTCCCCCAATTCAGGGTCTCTACAGACATAGAAAGATAGAAAATGAAGCTAGTAGATAAATATAAATAAATTATAGGCGTTTTGAGATAATTGAGAATCTGTAGAGAAAGTGATTAAATCACAAGTCTGTCTAATATATAGAGGTTTTTATATATTATAACATATATATAATTATATATGAATACATATATGTGTGTATATGCGTGTGTGTATGTGTGTATGTATATATATATATATACACACACATATATGTGTGTGTGTGTGTGTGTGTGTATATATATATAAAATGGTAATACTTGCCTGAAACTTCCATTTGGTATTTCTCCAAAAATAATGATTTTGAAAACTTTAGAAATTAGTTTCATCATTATTGAGTTATTAGAATATACTAAAATATAAAATATATGAGTATCCTATATTCAAATTTAAACTAATATAAGTTCAAATTTATACAGATAAGACAAAAAAAATGTCAATAAGCTTTTCCTCAGTGGCACTCAGAAAGATAAAATAGAAAGGAAATTACAAATAAAAAATTTTACTAGAGATTCAGTTGCCATCAATATGTGAGAGCTGCTTCTTCAAAAAATTATAAATTTATAAAAAGCTTTTAATTATAAAACTAAATAAAATTAAAAATTAAGAATGAATGACAAAAAAATACAGGGTGCTAATTTATTTTCTATTTCAATTCTTTACTATTGTAATCTATTTGGTTTATGTCTATGAATGAAGTGGGAAAAATCTTAAACTGATTATATAAAAAAATAATAATTATACAACCATGATGTTTAAAATCCACCCCTGGCATAAGCTTAATATATAATAAATGTTTAAGCATAAAGTCCCATTATTTTATTCCTTAATGTTTCTTTTAAAGTTTCCTTAATACTTCCAGATTAGCATTTGCTATGTTTATCCATAACACTTAAATTTCATCTAAAATAAGTCAACAAATTAATCTCAGGGTTGAAAGCAATCTCAAGCCTATTTATTCTAATCACTTCTTAGGTTTATGTTCTTTTGGATAGCTCTAGAGCCCAAAACTCATTCTTTACATTACCATTTTCAACAGAAAGTTCTTTCCCTATAAGGAACTGAAAATAATCACCATAGATTTCACCCATAAATCTAATTTACAAATTAAATGTTTTCATTATTTTTACAATTAAGGATTTTAATTATTTCTATGCCTTTCATCAATTGCTTTACCTCCACTCCTATCTCCATACAAACACATGGAGGTATACTGGCAAATATAAGCTTCTTAAATTTCTACATAAGCTAGAATTCTAGAAAGCAAATGGAGAATTACAGAAATTAAAGAAAAAAGGGGAAATGGCTCTTTTTAAATATATAAATTAAAATAAATTCTAAATACTGAATTATAAAGCAACAATGGCATAACAGTGTGTTAACAATTAAGGAAAATATAGAAAGGTTATGCATTTTAAACAAGTTATCTGTGTATTTTGTGGTGAAAAATAAGTTGATTTATTATATTATGCATGCCCATATTTAGTTTCTTAGTTTGAAAGAAACTGACTTGAAATTTTGATGAACTTCTATCAGTTCTTAAAATAGGGATCTTGCTAACCTTATCCAGTTAAGACCCCAAAGAAACTTAATTCTGGGTTCAGAAGTTAATGATGCCCATAACACAGATGCTGTGAAATCTGAATGTATGAACTTAAACATCAATAAATAAGAACTTGTGATTCAGAATCTTCATTTTGGAAGCCAGAGAATAGGAGAAATTTTTATGTTAAGTATACTTTTCAAGTTGTAAATGGATATCTTTGAAAATTATTGTGAAACAAAACAAACCTTATGCTCTCCAGACAAAAAACAAACAAAAACATTAATTAATACAAGTTTTATCAAATATTTAATAATTAAAGTAATATAACTCTTATTTATAAGTCTTAACTCTTTAAGATTTTTGAGGACATTAGTTATATCTAATTCATCTTGGAATTTGCAGTACCAGAAAAAGGGCTGAATATAGTAAATAAATGTTTGCCAAATGACCATTAAGCAGACTTTTAATATTCTCGAAATAAAAAAATTTCAAGACTTCTTTCTAATAACAAAAAGAGGTTTGCACATTAATAAAAAATATTTCAAAGAAAGTATTTACTTCTGTAAAAACTAAAATATCTTTTTGTACCTTGGTGGCATCCATTTCCTGAGAAGCAAACTGGGTTTGAATTTCTTCTAGTTGATTAATAGCTGAAATCTTCTCTCTTGTAATTTTTTCCACCTGGGCCTCAAGTTGGGCAATATTCTGAGACAGGATCAACATCTAGAAGAAGAAACAAAAATTCTTTTTTTTTTTTTTTTAAAGAGAGAGGAGAGAGAGAGAGAGAATTTTAATATTTATTTTTTAGTTTTCGGCGGACACAACATCTTTGTATGTGGTGCTGAGGATGGAACCCGGGACGTACACATGCCACGTGAGCGGGCTACCGCTTGAGCCACATCCCCAGCCTAGAAACAAAAATTCTAATAATAAAATAATTTGATAAATAATATTTTATTAATAGAGTCTTGGCATAGCCTCAGAGCTCTGTTTAAGTTATTTCTCTGTAGATTGGGTACATCCACTTCTCTACCTCTTCAATGTATCCTAGAGTTTAAATATGCATTTTCTTTCTATTCATTTCCCCTTACCTCTTATTTTGTAAGATGTGAAAGATGATAAAAAATTTTTTTTGGTTAAAATCCCAAGATGACAGATATCAGACACACCAGTAAGTTATGGAACAGATTTCCATAAACTGATTCAGAGGTGGTATGGTGGAATCAAGCAATTCTTAGGTCCTTCTCCCACATGGAGGGCATAAAAGGAGAGTTAAAGAGGAATATAACTTTAGAGAGAACTATGACTTCTACTTTCCTCTCCCAAAACCAACAAAGAGGAGGCTTTTTGCAGTTTCTTTTGTTGGTAAAACTCCACCTCCCATTTTCTAGCACTCCCCTAACCTTCCCAAAGGATTCAGTTCATCCATTATCTCCTTGCCTTCCGGAAGCCTTCCTTGACCTCCAGTTCTCAGCACAAAATAGGCAATCCTACACAAGCTTAGGGTTGCTGTCCAGTCAATGTGCACTGAGATGCTCATGCCTCTTGTTTTTGACTTGCATCCATTTGCAGACTACTTCCCTTGCTACACTTGTTGTGTAATATTTTGAATGTCACTCTGGGTACTCCTACAACAACCTTAGTATATGCACCTTCATCACAGTATTTACTATACTGTTTTAAGTTGACTCCTTGTTTCCTCATTAGACTAGAAGTTCCTCAAGGGCACATTCATTAAAAGGAACCATATTTGATGAATGGATAAGAAATTAATGAGAATAAATATCTTTTCCAAGGGGCTATCTGAATATTGGTCTTAGATTTTATTCTCAGGATTAAAAATGCTTTCTAGAATTTAGACTTAATTATAGATTTTTGTATATAATTATGTTTTGTTCTGCTCCAGTGAGTCAAACTTCTCTAGTTCTTTGATGAATTAGCAGTTTTAAAATGAAGAAATGCTACCCTAACTCCAGCAAAATAGATGGGGTACCTATGAGTTTTTATATGTTAAAATAAAAACTGGTAATGAGTTGGAAATAATGATACTTGAAACTTAACATTGTACCCTGACATATGTGTGAATTCAGTTCTATAAATGAAATCAATAAGCAAAATTTTATGATTAAAATTCAACATTGAGGGGCTAGAGTTGTAGCTCAGTGGTAGAGTGCTTGCCTAGCATGCGTAAGGCACTGGGTTATATCCTTAATAGCACATAAAAATAAATAAATAAAATAAAGGTATTGTGTCCATCTACAACTAAAAAAATATTTTTAAGAAAATCAACACTGAACCAGAGTTTTGATAAAGAGCATTACTGCAATAAAACTAAGATAGGTGTCTGCCTTTGCATTATTTAAATAGCTAAAGTTGACCTTTAGGAAAATAATGAACCCTGGTAGTTATTTTCCAATTTATGTAGATGAATTAATTAACTTTTCTGAAGATTGTAAAGCATTATATATTTGACTTCTGGTTGTTTACATGTCCTTATCAAAAGATAGTCTACAAATCAAATTTACACATAAAATTGGCTTCACTAATAACAATCTATGAAGTATCCTTGAGCATGTTACAATCTGAACCTAAAATTAAAAGTCAAAAGCAGATAAACAGAACAAATGTATCAATTTAATTTCCTTAATTTAAGAATTCAAGTTCATGACTATTTATATCATGAAATGTGTAATGACATGTTTTTTGGAATCATGTAATAGCAACAAATTTCAATGACCCACTATTTAAAACCACATATTATATATTTATGTGGAGATAAATCTGATGGTAAACATTAACATTGTACAGTTTTGAAGCAAATATGTAGACATTTATTTTTTGCCAACTGTAAATTCTGAATCAGTTTCTATTACAAAGCATGTTAACAAATCTCCCCTTCCTTAGGACTTATCTCTCTCTGCCACCCATCACTTCTTTCTTCTGCTCACTGTCTTCTGCCTCCTGTCACCCACTTCCTGAGGTTTCCCCTCCTGTTGTCACACCTTCTTTTTCCCCATGCCCACCATCTGGAAGTCAGCATTACACTGCAGGAGCTTCTCCACCCACATCTGTTGCAGAGCCAGAAGTAACACAGACACAGCTGCAACACTGCTGGATGTCCAAGGCATTGACATCAAGTAAGTCCTTTAAACTTTGACAGGGGCAAGGAAGAGACAAGGACACCCCAATTTGGGAGGGCTTAACAAAAAATTTTTGCAAAGCAGTCCCTCGTGTATTGAATAAGTTACAAAACAGAAATTCCCATACCTGAGATACAAGAATTAAAGATTCTAGCAATGGAATATTATCAAGGGAAGCAATTGAGAAACTGTGTGGACCATGGGGTTTGCTCAAGTAAATACATGATGAATGACTGAATGAACAAACAAATCTGAGAGTCAGTCCAACCAAGGACACTCACAGAAAGCAATGTTCATGGGAGAATGATTTAAACCTGTCTATATAGAAGGCACCTGTCCTGTTAGAGCTTCCAACACAATGGAATTTTAAAAGAGAGTGAAAAGAAAAGAAAAAAAAAAAGAAAGAAAGAAAGAAAGCCTCTACAAGTCCTTGTAGATCTCAAGTATTTGTACTTTTAGGAAAGCAGGGAGGGCTGCTATGGCACTAACTTTAATTACTCAGCACTTACAATGTTATGTTTAGTTGTCCTACTATATTATGTTTCTCTGCTAAGCACTGTCATACATATTCTCTTTCCTTTAAATTCCTTTAGAGAAGAAATCATTATTTTCTTACTTTTTTATTTTTGGAGAAGAAATTTTATTGGATTTTCAGTTTAGCTGAAATGAGATTTAAAACAAAACAAAAAAACTAAGTAACTTACCAAAGCTCATTCAAGAAAAAAACAAAAACCTGGACTTCATTTGGTTTTAATTAAAATTTTTCTTTTTCTTTTTTTTGTACTGGAGATTGAACCCAAGAGTGCTTTACTCGATCTATATCCCAGCCCTTTTTATTTTTTATTTTGGGACAGGGTATTGCTAAGTTGCCTCACTAAATTGCTAATGCTCACCCTGAACCTGGGATTCTCCTATCTCAGCCTCCTGAGTCACTGGGATTACCAGTATGCACCTCCATGCCTGGCTGGTAAAGATAGGCCTTAAATTCAAGTCTATCTACTTTTACTAACATGAAGGTCCAAGAAAGAAGAAAAACATTCAATAAATCTACTTCTTTCTCTAAATTAAGTATAATAGCCACAAACTAAACTTTATTCAATTCCTACCATAAAACAGCATTATATTTTCAAAATCTCATCTCATTTAATTCCATCAAGCCTTGAGATAAGCATTATCAACCTTTTTCTTTTTTATATTTATTTTTTAGTTGTAGTTGAATACAATACCTTTATTTCACTTATTTATTATTATGTGGTGCTGAGGATCAAACCCAGTGCCTCATGCATGCCAGGCAAGCACGCTACCACTTGAGCCACATCCTCAGCCCATCAACCTTTTTCTTTATTCCTGAAATGTAGAGAGATTTAAAAATTGCCAAGATCAGAGAAAGCTCAAATTAGGGTTGACTAAATCCTTTTTTTCTCCAAAGCTACTTTCCCTGCTGAAAGCATTTAACCTCAGTGCTAGGATCAATGTTGGCTCTTTAGTCATACAACCTTATTTAGGATAGAATCTTGATATCAAATGCTGGCCAAAGTTTTCTTGGGGAAAATAAACTTAAATGGCTCAGGTTCCAAAATACACTGTATTTCTGTTACCATTTTTATTCATGAAATAATTGTTAGTCTTAGTATAAAGTTATCTTACATATGAACACACCTGGCATATTGCCAGACCCATTTCAGCCTTCCTTCTTCCTTTCTTATCAGGAATTATTATCAAATCAACATACTTTTTGTATAGTAGAAGTACCTAGGAAGGCAAATGGTTTCCACTAAATAATCCTCCAAAAAAATTGCGTAGGTATGAACAATAGCTGATCTTTGTTATTGATACCATTCTCACTCATACACAACAGTCCATTCATAACTTAACCTCCCTCCATGCCTTGTGATGACTCTAGCATTTTAGCTCTGTCTTTCCAATTGCATGGGAACCCCCACCCTTACATGACATTCATTTATTTATTCATTCAATAAATATATATATTTTAAGCACATTTTAATGTGAAAAGAATAAATCAAACAATGAGTATCATACATGAAAGGGGCTCAATAAATTAGGGAAGGCAAAAAATTCAAGAAGAATTTGCAATAAACTGAGTTATGGGAACCCATGCAGAAGATGGCAATAAAGCTTTGGGTGGCCCTGAAAGTAGGTAGTATCAAGAACTCTGAAGGATCAAAGAAGGTAAAGGAAGATTCCTGAAGGCAAGGGACAAAAATACATGCAAAATCCTGAAATGAATAAACAAACATTATGACTGCTTGTTTTCTCATTGGGGAAGTGCAAGGAGGTCAGGATGGTGGGGATGCAAGGAAGAAAAATGAAGGGAGATGAGACTGGAGAGAAAGAATTGAAGTTTTTATGTTATGCCAAGGGAGCCTAAATTTTATCCAGGGTTGTAGGGAGACATAAAGAATTTTAAAGCAAAAGACTGGCACATTGAGAAATTCATTTTAGAAAGATCATTCTAGCTATGATAAAGAGAACAGATGGGAAGGAGGTGACACTGAAGGCACAGATACAAGAGACTGGAGGAACAATCCAAGGGTGACATGGCAATTTAAAATACTTAGGGACCTGAATCTCTAGAACTTGGTGATGAGGTGTAAAGGTTGAGGTAGAAAGCAGAGACAAGGATGAAAACAAGATTTCTGTTGTGCACAACTATAGGAATAGCAGTTCCACTGGGGCAAGGAAGATGGAAAGTAAGCCTGATTTGGGAGCTCAGTAGAAAATGAAAGATTTAGAAATGTATACTATACATGGAATTAAAGCTACAGTAGTGATGAAGACAACTCAATTGATAACTCTCTACTAAACTCTAGAACTTTCTATTAAGCAGCTTTCTGAATGTGTCTCCTTCACTATCTCAAAATGAAGAAAATCATTCTCCGAAATAAAACATGAGTTCAAAGAAATCCAGGAACATGTATCTTTTAATATGAACTAAAAATTCAGTAAATATAGTACAGGGAGGCAGGTGGTCAATAAGCTTAGCAACAGTATTCTCAAGGACTATGGGTACAAAAGCTGATTTGGAGTGCACTGAAGAGTAAATGGAAAGTAAGAAAATAAAGATGTGTTTGGATAATCTTTCAAGGAACTTAACAATTAAGGGAATGAGTGAGGAGAGATATAGAATTACTAAGGTAGCTTTCACTCTTGGCTGCATATTGGAATAAACTAGGCAACTTAAAAAAAATTACTGACCCTGGCAGGTGGTGGTGCACACCTATAATCCCAGCAACTCAGGAGACTGAGGCATGAGGATTGCAAGTTTGAGGCCAGCATCAGTAATTTAGTGAGGCCCTATGAACTTAGCAATACCCTTTCTCAAAAAATATAAAGGGATAGGGATGTAGCTAAATGAGAAGCACTCCTGGGTTTAATTCCCAGTACCCAAACCAACCAACCAACCAACCACCCTTTCTCTGCCCCCCCCCCCCAAAAAAAAATTTAACTGGTTTGGTATATTTTGGGCAATGAGATTTTTAGATCTTTTAGAGTAGTAAAGATCGATTAGAATAAAGATTTTTTTCAACAGGTGAGAGAATTTGAGAGTATTTTCCTAATGTTAAGAAAGAAAGAAAAGTTTTAAGACTCAGAAGATAGGGGATAACAAATGAAATAAACTCTTTGAGGTGGGAAAGGGGCTGTGATCTAGGTTAATGGATGATGATAGGATTAAGCCTTGTCCATCCTGACATGTTTGGGCTATAGGTGAAAATTTGTTTAATGGCAGAGGTGAGGAAATAAATACTTGGGATGGATATTATCTGATGGTTTCAATTTTATTTGTTATTTCCTTTATTATTCTTTATTAAAGCTCTCTGCTGAGAATGAAGGAGAAAGTCATATGGCAGAGAATTTGAGGATAACAAAAGTGATATAGAATGATCATGGAAAAATGAGTACAAGTTATCATTTTCCACTTGGACTACTATAACCTGATCTTTACATCTATTCTGGTTCTCTTTCTAATCTACTGATAAAATGATTTTTTTCAAATATAAATGACATCAGAACACTTTCCAATTTAAAGCTATTAAATGGTTTTTCATTACTTTTTGGATAAAATTTAAAATTTCTCACAAGGAATTTAAGGTCATTCAGGATTTGGCCTCTGAACACTTCTCCAAACTCCATGATTTTGACCCTCATTCCTTATGTTCCTGTCATCTGGGCATTTCTTAAATTCCTAGAAAGTCCAGTGTTTTTTTTAGCTTCAGAGTTTTTGGTTTATTATTTTCCTGGACCTGAAACTCTTCCCATCAACTCTTCAATTGTTCCTGACAATTCCTTCTTAACCTTTCCAGTATCATTTAAAAATCTTTTCCTTATGAAAATTCTCATGACTGTCCTAGACTAGGTCAGATTCTCCTGCTGCACATTCCCACAGTATTCTATATTGAGCCATTAATGCTTTATAAGAATCATAATTAGAAAGTAATTTATGAAAATATTTGTTTAATGTTTAAAAAATGTCTAACATCTTCATGAGGCAATTTCATTGGTCCTGAAACTACCACATCCCCAGGCTTTCTAAAATTAATATCTGTTGATTGCTGAAAGAATGGGAAAGAAAGGAATGCATAGGAGGACTAATAGACCCCCAAGTGTGCAAAGTTTCCATCTATTGTAGGATTTTCATCAGCTGAGATGACCAATCCAAGGCAGAGAGGTAGTCAGTCAGACTGACCTACAGTAAGGGTTTTCTTTTTCTTTTTTTTTTTTAATACATTTTTTAGTTGCTGATGGACCTTTACTTTATTTATTTATTTAATTATGGTGCTGAGAATCAAACTTAGTGGTTCACACATGCTAGGCAAGTGCTCTACTACTGAGCCATAACCCCAGCTCTACAGTAAGGTTTTAACAGACACATTTTTGTTTTCTTTCAAAAAGGGTAAGAAGAGAATGGAGTTATAGTAAATGCTTCAATTTATCCAGAAGACTTAAAACTGGTTGGGCAGAAGTTGTGACTTTTCTCTTTTTTTACATAGGACTGTACATTGCCTTGTACACAGCAGATACATAGTAGGTATTTGCTATATGAGTTAATTATTACACACTGGAGTATTACAGTATTTAGGGCACAAGCTTTGAGTCTACTTAAAAAAATGTAACACAGTTGTTTTGGTTACTTCTTGCCCAATTTTATTACTATAGCAACTTTAACATTAGGTTCCACTCAACTCTGCATTCCAATTTGTTACTGTTTTTCCAATACTGCACATTTCATGTTATTTGTTCCTTTTGCCTACAATTTCTCCCTTCCAGTTAGTTATTCATCTGGTTATGGTCATTATTGGTCATGTAGTTTTTCAGAACTGATTTCATACAATTTGTATAATCACTTTTTATTGATTACATTGTTTCTTACAAATTTTATCTTATGTTTAATTTGGTATAGGGGATAAAAAGGGGAGTCATTTCTCCTTAATTTAGGCAAGGTTGAAATAAAAGCTGGTATTTTTGGAGCACTTGATCTCCTTTAAAAAACATGAGGGGCAAGCTGAATGGCAGAATATGGAAGTAAATTGATTATTTTAATTGAAAAGGTCAGAAATTAATTTCATTGAGAAATATGAAGAAAAAATAAAACGTTTTAATGAGCTCTTAAAATATAAGAAATTTACTTATAAAGGTTTTTAATATTTAAAGCCCATTCAAGAATGGCAGCCTAAAGGCACATCAACACTAACATTTTTTCAGCAGTGGGCATAACAACTCAAGTACCTTTGATTCCATGTCCTCCCTTTCTTTCGTTATTTCTTTTTTCATCATCTCTTTCTCAAAGGCCCTTTTCTCCTGCTGAGATGCAAGTTCTTTTTCAAGCCTTTCTGTCTGCCTTTCCAGTTCATTCTTCAACTGCTCACACTGGATTAGAGCCTGTCAGAATAAGAGAGTAACATGGGAGGTAGCATTTAGAAAAAAAAATACAGAAAGAAAAGAGTCATTTAAGTTTTACTTTTACTTAAAGTAGTTAAAATTCACTATAAAGTTCATTAGAATAACTTTGTGTTTATTGACACCACTTACTGATCTAGTATGCAAATGTTACATTTACTCAGATATTTCAATATTCACAATTATGGCTGATCAACTAGAAAATTCAGGTAACAGACCTTGATGAGGGCCACAGATGAGTCAGAATTTGAAAACATGGATCAGAAAAACCAAGTGTTTTAGAATTTTAAATTATATATCATGTTAATATTATATGATTATATAAATTTTACTAATTTCTGATTTCCTTGTTAAGAATTTGAATATTTTAAATGACAAATGGATATACAATTTAAAATGAGATGTTAAATACTGTATTTCATGACACACAGACATTTATTGTTTAACACTATATTAATAGTTTTCTTAACTATAACTAAAATTTAGTTCATTACCCTTAAACATACAACTAATGTAAATATTAGGTAATAATCAAAAGTTAAAATAGGGAAAGAGTCAAAACTGAATTCACTACTTAACTTAATGATAATTGTCACCATAAGTGTCCTTTAGTCTAAATTTCTCATTATATTTCCAGAAATAAAAAGTTCCTAATTTCCTTTTGGCTACATTTATAACACCTGTATGGATAACACCCAATAATAAAATATGACTTCAAAAATCACAATTTTTTAAAACCCCAATAAAATTAAGGTTCTAATTTATCTTGGTCTTATCCCAGTTGCTCTTATCTATAAAATCTACTTCATCCAATCTTTATTTTCCCCTGAATTTGTTAAAAGAAACCCAAGGGGCCTCATATGCACAAAGCCCTGGGTTCAGTCCCCAGCCCCACAAAAACAACAGCAGCAACAACAACAACAAAAAGAAACCCAAGTCTTTTATGGTTACTGGGTGATTATAAATTTAATAGTCCCATTTGTTGGTAATGGAAATAGATATAGTTACAGCATATGCTGTAAGTTTTATGCATTATTATACTTCCCTCTGGTGAAAGCTATAATAAATACAGACAATAAATATCTAGGGGCTGGGGGCATTGGCTCACGCTGTTAATCCCAGCTACTCAGGAAGAGGGGCAGGAGGATTTCAAGTTCCCAGACTAGTCTTGGCAATTTAGCAAGACCCTGTCTCAAAGAAAAAAAAAAATTAAAAAGGTTGGGGCAATTGTTCACTGGTAGAGTGCCCCTGGGTTCTAGTCCCATAACTGCAAAAAAGGAAAATCAATCAATCAATCTAGGATACATGAATTTTCCTTTCTTCATCTAAAAAGCATTAAGCTTTTTGGGGGGATCTTTTCTTGAACATTTCTGACTTGTAGTATGAGGTAAGTTTAACTGTGTCAGATTAATGGGGGGCGGGGGGGAGGAATAACTATAAAATGATTACTGTAGGGAGTTAGTCCCAAGCTAAATTCTAGTGCAGAATGCCTGGGAATGGAAATTTTAAAAGAAATGAAAAAGCATAATTTTTCCATAATTAAAGCACTTGGAGCTTTGAAATATGAATTAGTGACTTTTGTGCTTCAAAATATAATTGTGTTTATAAAAACATTTTATATGAATTAATGCAAATGACTATAACTTTTTGCTGACATAATGAATATTACTGGTATAAATTAATAAAATAATTATTGAATATAAATAAATATATCCAATTTAGGTAGGATGAAACACACACACACACACACACACAAAAGAAGGAAAAAGAGACCAAAGCTACAAAGCTAAAAGCAACATGATTTTAGAGTTACTCCCCAGATCTGTTTTTCCTCTAAGCTGGTCAAATTCCTAAGAAATCTACAAATCTTAGTGTTACTATGAATTCACTCATCGATGCAAATTGCCTTATTTTGATTTAAGCTTATATGCCTGTAAAGCCTATACAACATGTTTTAAGATTAGATAAAACAAAGGGAGATATATTTTAAGAAACTATAAAATAGGCACATTCCAAATGTTATTTATTAACCAGATAGAGGAGACAATGTCAACCTGAAGATCCTGGAGAGGACCAGACCACCATAAATTTCTTGTGATCTATGATCAAAGAACTGAGTTCACTAGGCTGGTGTCATTCTTCCATTTCATCTTATGCCCACTCCTCACAAAGTCTCTTTTAAAAGAAGAACCCTAGATCCCCAAAGTGCATTTCACTTTGGAACACCCACACCCTTTCTTCCTTACTCTATTGCTTTCTTTCACTAAGTAAACCTGTCAGTGACATCCTATCTGATACATCCAGAAATTCTTTTCTGTGTAAAATATTAAGAATCTACATGGACCAAGTTGAGGTCCCCTTTTCCTCTTTAGAAGGGGCCTGTTAGGACCCCCTCTCGTGACACAATCAGAAGGTATTCAATTGAATAAAAATTAATGAAATACAAGAACAGTAGAATAGATTGCTGAAAACCTAAAACCCAAGCTAACCTGAAGAACAACTAAAGAAAGAATTCAAAGAATTCAATCAGTTCAGGAACAAGGAAGAACAAATGATCATTATAGAGAGACCAAATGCCTAGATAAGGTGATTTAGCAAAAAGTACAAAAGTACAATGTTATAAATCACATAAATAAAAACATTGCCAAAGTCTTGTTTTGTGAATGGTCTCTTTCTTTCAAGGATAAGCCAACAGTAATAATGGGTCATGATGAGTATGAAAAGAACAATGAAATACTGAATAAAACTGTTAGGTTGAAAACTGGTTTTTGGTGTTTATTCGTGTCTAACCAATGATCCATGTTATAAAATAGCTTTTAATTTTATTTGCTTTGATTTTAAAATTTATGCTTGGTCATAATGAAGAAAATATTAAGTGTTCGTAACACTTGGAAGTAGAAATTATTTAATCTTTCTTAAAATGTCCTTTCTAACAGTGTACCTCATTAAAAGACTGTGTCTTCTAAACAAGTATTCATAGATATTTTCACTGCAGTTCTCTCTTTTAATTCTGGGGCTCCCTCACTTATCGTCCAGAACCCTAGCTTATTTGGTATCTCCTGATTACACTCATATAACTTGTTCACTAAAGACATAAGTAATTTCTCAAAGGCTATGTCAGTAAGCTGGCAATTAAAATTAAATGACAGATCTTCACAGATGATCAAGTTAATGTGCAGCTTGTGCTGCCATTTCTCCCAGCAATCTTGAAGGGAGTGGTTTCCCCCACTTTCAAGGCCTTTGTAGAAATGGCTTAGGTCTTGAGGAGCTGGGGAATTATACTTTCCTCCTACCTAGAAGATTCAATCCTCAAGGGCCCTTTTCTTTTCTGGGAAATTTCCTTATTCTTTGTTCTATGATAATCCTGGCAACACTGTTTCAAAATATGATGTATTAGGATTAATATTTCTAGTCCAATTTTATTAAACCAAATGATAAACATTACTGTCTTGGAGTCAAAAGATTTTTTCACAATGAAATTTGTATCTGCTCAACTAATTTTTAAAATAAGAAAGCTATTTTAGGATATAATAAGCCCTTTCTAACCGCAAGGGTTGGTTTCCTAGAAATTCTAGTGATAGAACAATTCATGACTAAAGAATTAACCTGTTATAAGAAATATATAGTTATAGGAACAAATTTTAGAATTTATCAATGTGCTTTTATTTTTACAAAATAAAGCCCATAGCTGGGAATGGTGGTGCAATCCTGTAATCCCAGTGACTCCGAAGGCTGAGGCAAGAGGATTGCAAGTTTGAGACCAGTCTCAGAAATTTAGCAAAGCCCTAAGCAACTTAGCAAGACCCTACCTCAAAATAAAAAATAAAAAGGGCTGGGGATGTGACTCAGTGGTTAATTTCAGTGGTTATTTGCCCTTGGGTTCAATCCCCAGTACCAACAAAACAAAACTAAAGAAAACAAGAAAGCAAGCCCATAAAATAAAAATGATTATCAACACATTTCAAGCAAATAAGTCATTAATAATGCAAACTACCAAATTTAAGTTATAAACACTTACTTAACAGAAACTCATTAACCAATCTATCCCTATCTTCAGTTTTCAAGATAAAGTCAGCATAATTTAATGACAAGGTCATATTCTGAGAAATGCATCAATAGGCATTTTTCATCATGAAAACATTGTAAAGTACACTTACATAAACCTAGATGTTATAGGTCAATCGTGTGACATTGCCTCTTGGTGCAATCAAAAAACACAAAACATGAGACGTATAAGGCTGTTGCTAGCATAACAGGACATACTGTTTTACAGTAAATGTTTTTTATAAATAGAAGGAATATACTCTAAAATAATGATAAATAGTATGATACAGTTAATACATAAGTGAACATTCCCTTATTATCATTATCGAACATTATGTATGCAACATAATTATGACTAGCAGCATAGTAAGTTTATACCTGTATCACCACAAACACATGAGTAATGTGTTATACTATGTCCTTACAATGACGATGACGTTGGCCACAGGGAATTTTTTAGTTTACATTATAATCGTATAAGGTCAATGTCATACATCTGATCCATCCCTGACTGAAATGTCCTTATGCAGCATATGACTATAATTTGGTTTTGTTATGCAGCAGAAAATGTGAATATCAAGAAGTGCTATTTTCTATGCTTGTGACTTCAATCAAATGCTCAATGCTTTTCTATTTTTTTTTTTACTCCAGGTTTCTAATTCTTTTCTGATTTTACTATAATCCAAGACGCAGAATGATTTGGACATCATTTGGACACAAACAAAGTTTGTGGACATATTTATTCAACCAACTTGGCTGGTATTTAGTTTGTTTTCTTTATTAGGGTTATCTTGGCCCAGCAAGGAAGTATATGCCTGTAATCCCAGGGACTCAGGAGTCTGAGGCAGGAGGATCTTAAGTTCGAGGCCAAACTCAGCAACTTAGTGAGGTCCTAAGCAACTTTGTAAGCCTGTCTCAAAATAAAAAAAAAAAAATAA